GGTACTTAAAAAGTATTTGAGACCAGAATTGTGGTCTCTAAAACGGCAGAGGCGACCGGATTTCTTTCCTGTCCCAACACCATTTCACGATCGGATATTGAAACTCGTCGTTGTTGAACAATAGCATCAGAAGCTACTAGGATGAGTGGCGACCAACTTTTTCAAGTCTCAAAGGCCTATTAGGGACTAGATTGGGACTTTTAGGGACAAGATTTCTCTTTCTTAGAGACTATTTTTCTTGTAGTGTGAAAAGGAAGGAATGGTAAGTTCACTTTTGGTGACCTTAATATGGTACGTTGGTGTGGATGGTGGTATGGGACGCCATCCATGCATTGCATAAGGTATAGAATGAGGGTTGCTTAAAGTGGAAGTCTAAGGTAAAGGTAACGGGTTACATGATGATTTGTCTAAATGTGGTATTATGACTTGCATGATGATTATACTTGTATTGTATGTCTCTTATGCTATTGTATGTGATATTTCTAAAAAGTGACATAATGCATGGTTTCCAACAAAAATGTCCCTTTTAAAGTATGTTTTTTCATGGTCATCATACTTAGTACATTTTTGTGTGCTAACCCATATTCTTTTATTTTTACTCAAGTGTAGGTTCCGGCAAGTGATTGCTTACTCTAGATTGAAGTGCTTGGATTGCTATTCCTCCAAGATCAAGTGGTATGTCCTCATAGATCGAGGACAAGTGTTTAAAAGTTTCTCTTTATTTCATGTAATAGACATTTAGTAGTTTTCGATTTTAAAGGGTCGTGTCCCTAATATGTTTTGAGATTGTGTCTAGGATGGCCATGTGAGACTTAGACTTTCGTTGTGTCTTTTTGAAAGATTGTTAAATGAATGTTTTGAATAGTATGGTTTTAAATGAAAAGTTTTAATTCCGCACTATTTTATTACCTATGCTATGAACGAATGTTATGAGGCTTGTATAAGACCCATTTGGGGTCGAGTACACCGTGTTACGACTAGGGGGTGCTCTTGGGTCATGAGAGAACTTTAGAGCATATTCTCGCACACTAATACCCCCTTTTCGAAGGCTAACGAACTCTAGCACCTTAGTTTCCCTCATCTCGAGGGGAAAGAATCTATCAAGAAACGCGATCTTAAATTTCTCCCAATCAAGAGGACCCGCATCTTTAGGTCTCCCTTATTTCCATTGGTTATACCACACTTGAGCCACACCTTTTAATTGGTAAGTGCCCAACTCTGCCTTTTCCACCGACATAACTCCCGTGATCATCAAAATCTTATAAACCTCATCGATAAACTCTTAAGGATCTACCTCAACTTTTAGAACCATGAAACTCTGGAGGATTCATCCTTGTGAAGTCCCTCACCCTTGAAACCGCTAAATTCACATTTGAGCTTGCGGGAACCACAACCTCCATATTGGCTTGGGCTGTAACCACTTGAAGCAATACTTGAAAAGCAACCCTAAACTTCGCATTAGAAATATGCCCAGCCAAAGGATCGACCGGTGATACGCTCAAATTACACCTCCTTACAGAAGTATAAGCGATCGTTATCAAGTAAAGAACCCAACATGTAGGTTGGGATCGATCCCACAAGGAAAATGGTTTAGACTTTACTTTAACTAATAATTATATTCAATTAGTCAAATTATTTCCAGAAACAGGTAATAAAAGGGGGGTTGTGTTTGTGTAAAACAAATAGTAAGAACTTAATAAGTAATCACTAATCAAACTCAACTTAGGTTGTTATCAAGATAAGAGAAATAACTAGGGTATACGTGTTCCCCAACAATCTCATAACGCAGCAATCCTAGTAACAGCAATCCTTTTCTAGTGTATTACATGCAAAGTGATAAGTTAGGTATCTCTAAATCCTTGGTCTGGCATCTAGAGAATTTCACCCCGCACCTTGGTCCGGCTACGTGTGTATAATTTACTAACCCTTACCCACTACTAAAAAACTGCTAAAAAACGACGGAAGAAAAAGCGACGGACAACATCGCTCCTAAAAAGCGACGGTCTAAGAGATGCCGTCCGTCGCTTTTTTAAAAAATTAATTAATAAAATAAAATAAATT